TATTATTCAGCCTTTAAAAGGCAGGAAAATCTGCCCAGCCATTGTGGCTCTACCTATGAACCAGGAGGTCACAGCTCGATTCCTGGTGGGGGCATATGCCTGGGTTGGGTTGTGGGCTCAATCCCCGATCATGCAGAAACCAGCTGATCAACGATTCTCTCTCATTATTGATGTTTCTATCTCTCTCTCCCTCTTCCTTCCTCTCTGACACACACACACAGATATATATATATTTTTTTAAATAATATCCTAGGAGGGTGGTTTAAAATGGAGATTCTTGACCCCATTCTTGTCTGATTAAGTCTGTCAAGGACAACACTGAGAGAAGCATTGACAAACTGTATCCTGGGCACAGCTGGGACAATCCCCAGTCTTCAGGCAAGGTCTCTGGGGCTCCCAAAACCTTCTTACACAGGCCATCAGTGTAACCATCCTTCTAAAGGTTTGAACCAGGTGAGGCTTGTTGTATGCTCTGCATTCCCTAACCAGTGTTAGGTCGGAGAGAGCCCAGGATCGGATACATGCAGACATGTGACAAGATGATGGACTCCCCCTGGCATGTCTAACAGATCAGCATGCCAGACACAGATACTGGCTTCTCCCTGAATCAACACCGACTCCCACACAGATACTGACTCATTCCTGAATACCTGGCTGAGCAGCTGAAGCTTCCTCAACTGAATACCTCAGCTCATGTCCCCGCCCCTCACCCAACCGCAGTATAAAAAAAGCGCCCCCCTCCATGTTGGTGTGAATCCACGTGCCCTGTCTTTGGGGTACGTGGGTCTCCCGGGGACGCAGAATAAACTTTCCTTTCCTTTCTTTTCTGATTCACTGGACTCTCTATTTCTTGCACCACCTCCTGAGCCACCTAACCTAACATTTCGTGCCTTGAAACCCGGGTGGCTCGAGCACTCCATTTGGCTGTCCCTCCGCGGCTTGGGGTGCCCCCCTCTCCCTCCTCGTGGCTCTGGACCCATCAGGACCTCATTTCTTCAGCTCAGCAACTTTTCCCAGTTTGGCAGCATCAGCAGTGAGTCCCACCCCGCCCCCGTGCTGGCCTCCCCTCTTCCGCCCACCCGGCGGGGGCCGGAAACTCAAACCGCCTTTTACAACCCCATGCCCCTGCACGCTGCCGCCGTGGGCACTGTGCCGCGCAGTCCGTCCTCGCACTGCCGCAGCTGATAACGCCATAGCCGCTGCGGGAGCTGGAAACTCTGCCCCGACCCCACCTGCTTCCCCAGTAGGCACACACGCATCTGTCCTTAGGCTCCACCTTCCTTCTGTCCCTGAGCCTTCGTTCTGCCCCGCCCCTGGGAGGTTGTGCCCACGCCCACCCAGGCCACCTCTCTCGCTCTCTCCCCTCCCCTTACAGGCCTGCCTTAGTAACCTGTACCCCACGCAGTGCCCTCTCTAAGTTCTAACCGCCCGCCTTCCACTGTGCGCTCTGCCGAATCTCCTCCCCCATGACTGCCAGCACTTTAAATTCACAGATGGCCGGCCAGTTCCCTTTGCAAGAGGTTGCAGCTGGGCTCTCTTCAGACCCTTTTAACCAGCAGCTT